GAGAGAATATCCGCGCTTCATCCGCGGGAGAAGTAACGGAATTCCGTGCTCCGGCCGAGTGCGCTGGTGTCGTCATTCTTTCCGGCTTCATCTTGTGGGAAAACTCGAACTCGGCAGCGACGCCAATTCCGCGCAATCCTTCACTCAGAACGGCAGAAGAAGAAAATCGCGGATGACGGCGAGTGTCTTTCTTCTTTTTGGGTTGTGCCAGCGAATTTCCTCGCTGCTGCATACATCCATTCCTCAATCCAGACTCGAATGAAGTGTCAACGATAAGAGAGATGAAAATCTCGGAATTATTCAGATACTTGGTATAGAATGGCTTTCCTCAGAGAGATCGAGTAATTGAGATCGACTTCACCTCTTCTCGATCCCGATCCCAGGTGACAGCCAGAGTTCGAACGTCACGCGCCGGGCCGCTCAGAAAAATTCGCGAGCCCGGTCGATCGCATTCAGGGACCGGAAACTCTCGGAGATTTTGACGTGAAACCATCTTCACGTGCTGATCGACCACACTGATCGAAGGTAGTCCGTCTTAAGAAAACCGTAGTGACTTTACTCTGTCTGAGAGCTCGAGGAGCTGCTAAAGAACGAATTCGTAGCTGTTTTCGTGTCTCGGATGATGGCCCCCGGGACGCTTCCCGGAGGCGATTTATTGGCATTCTCCTGAACAGCCTCAAATGACAGGGCTCGAATAGAAGTTTTGTGGAATGCTTGGGGGACATCCTGATTCGAAATCGCGGTCCGACTCCTTGACTGTGGAGATCCGTGGTCTTCTGGGTAGCTATCCATTTGCTAGCCGTATGGCAAGGGAGATTACTAGAGCTCGGGAGTTCAGGCACTGAAAAATGCCGAAAACGGCCGGCGAAGAGGCCCTGTAATACCTTAGAATAGGCGAAACAGGCGTGATAGGCAGGGCAAACGCCGCATCAGATCGTTCGTCAGTGCCGTTTGATGAGAGATTTACTTTATAACCTCTGGGATGATTGATGATTTACCATATACCCCGGACGGAGACGCTGACAGCTCCAGACCCTGAAGAAGTTTTCTCAAGATATGTCGGCAGAACGAACTCCCAAACTTTCATCCTACGGATGCACATATCCCCTGGAATCCATCCCGAATTTTTCTCCAAATTAGATACCGAGTATGAGGCATCGGACTCGCAGCGACTTCGATGCATGCCCATCCGTGGAAGATCGCACGATGGAAGTCCGGGCATAATTGGACGGGCAATCAAGGCTCCTGTGGATGTCCTTCAACGCTTCCTAGGTTTCTCGACGAGGACTATGTGTTCGACGTCAATCCGAGGAAAAATGCCGGCCAAGAATCATCCTTCATTGTCGTGCTTCTCTTAAAAGAGTGCAGGTGCAAACTATGATAGTTTCTGAGTTCTGACTGGAGTAATGACTTGAGGTTACAGAGGACTGCGTTGGTCGACCATTTCTTGATCTAAAGGGAAAGGAGTCAAGTAATGATAGCTTAATTACGTCGAACTGATCACCATGGTGGAATCCGTGGATTCTCGAAATAATTCTATATTGATTATGAAATTCAATCAAATTCTAATTGATCGTTTTACTATTTCATTTCAAGTATTGTACCCTCGAATCATTCTTCGAAGAGAAGACTCGAACCTTTCTGGTCCATCCGGTAGCCTTCGCACTATAATCACCCGCTCCGCTCAATCGATCATCGTCACTCATAGCTCTCTCTATAAGAGACAAGATTGAGCTGTCAAACTCACACGAAACCTCCGAATGAGTGCCTGCCGTCAGCAGCTCTCGTCTCCCCCCCCCTTCTACAATCTCATCAAGGAGGAACATCTCCCAAGGCAGCGATTCTGTTTTTCACAAGGGCTATCTCAGTCTCGAACGATGATGTGAAAGAATGTCCTCTGGCTGAAATCGAGGGGAAGCCCGCGCGAATGTTTTGTCTCCGAAAGGAATGTTGAGAGTGAAGGTCGCCACCAGACCCTGAAAATGTTCAGGCGGAGCGAAACTACGGAACATAGCCCGCTCATTCAGGTACACGTACTTTGTTATCAAATAATATATATTGCCAATCCAATCGGCTCTCACTGTTGCCCCTTTCACGTGGGTTGAGTAACCATTACCATAGCGCGAGTTTCCAGATGCGCCCCCTAACTCAGGCCGGCTCTTGCTGTTTTCTTGGCGAGAAACTGCGAGGATTCTAAGTCGGGTGATTGATCGTTTTGGCGTTGAAAGCTCTTCGAAATGGCTCCGTCGGCAGGCCGACTCTACTCCGGCATCTGTGGAAAGAAATGTGTCCAGCACTGGGGTCCAATGATCTCGCTCGTTTGGATCGGATTGCTATCCTCTCCGCCTTTATTTGTAGAAGTAATATCATGGTCATGAGGATTTGGTGTTGGGGAAGTCGGCACCTCGGAAAGTGGTTCCAGGTAAAAAAGGCTTTTCCGTCCCAAAAGGACATTTTAGACAGTAATGCCTACCTTCTAAGTTCTAAGCAATGCTCATCTACTCAGTCAACAGCATACCGTGGCAGTGTCGACGGGTACACTAATTGTAAACCATGCCGGAAAGGAAAATCGCCCGCCGAGACCGTTCAGAGAAGACCTCTAGCAAAGCTTTTTCGCGCGGTTTGCTCCGCGATATGACAACCGAGGCAACGTTCCTCTCGGAAGACAAGATTGATTCGAATCCAATATTCCTATTTTGCCGCTTTCGACCGTTTGAATATTCCATTCAAACAGCGACGGAGTGATTCCTATAACGGAGTTTTCGAAAGCACCCACGGAGCGACGAAGATCGAAGAAGGTTTTGCGGCCACTGAAATGAGCGATATCGATAGGTTCAGAGAGAAGAGTGAGTTGCTAATCGAGCTCGTGGAGTACGGTCTCAGAACCTGGTGCGAGACCTTTGTTCTCGTCTGCCACAATTATGATAAAGGCCGTGAAAACAAGTGGTTGACCGGGCAGCAAGTTCGGTGCACATATATTCGGAACTTTCTCGACGAAGAAACGCGACCGACCTTTTGGTCGTGATGACCCGAGGCTCCGTCTTAGTTAGTGGATTTGACCATCGCGACCCAGCTGGAGCTTTCCGACTTCAAAGAAACAATCATGCTGAACGTTCCATTTAGCGCAGCAGCTCCTGTGAGCCCCGCGTGCATTCAAAATCAGTCCTGACGTCACCTTCCCGTACGAGATGAATATGGAGAGTTTACGTTGGTCATCACAATTGAGAAGGTGCATCACGGGCTGGTGTGGGAGCGATAGGGGGGAAGCGTATCCCCGCTCCTCACTCAGCGTCGTAGCTGCAGACCATCGCGCAAACGATTCACTGTGGGCCTGCTCTCGGATATGCCCCCTATTTTTTTTATACCGATTTCGAGCCCTGCGTCGACGGATCGCTCGCCTCGGGGATTTTTGATCTCCAGATCGAGGCCCTGTCCGGCTTTTGTATGTGGAGGACGCTGAGGTTGCTTCGCATGGTTTCGATTAGCATCCCTTCGCATAGGTCATCGAACTGGATGCCGAGCGACGCATCAGGCAACGAATCGTTGGGGCGAGCGAGAGACCTACACAGTTGCTCTTGACCATCCACTTAAACAGTTGTAAGCGTTGTTGGCCGGAGAGCACCGTCGCATGACATCATCATTCCTCATACAGCTGTACGAGTCTCAACGGCAACCTCGACGACCGCTTCTGTTACACTAGTTTGTCGTCAAAAGCGATGAAGAAGAGAGAAAAACACGGAAACGCGTGAGAATGGGGAAAGAAGGCTGCCTGCGGGTGACGGAGGAGACGTCGACCGCTTTTCGGGCCATTACCCAAACGAAACCAAAAAAAGGCTCTCAGCTTAAGATAGCCATTTTGCAAATGCTGGGAATTCTATTTCAAGTGATCTAGCGACGATGCCGTCAAAGGCGCCACCGGTGATCGCTATGATGTCATAGTTTGCAAATGACGATATTCCGCGTGCTATTCCCTCTGCTTGCGAAATCTAGAATCATTCTTCTGTCTGGGTGATATATCTACCGAGAGCTCGTGAACGAGGATCCAGGCCTCGAAGATCGAGGCTGTCGGGAAATAGGACGTCGGGTCGCGACCGCGGTTTTCAAATGGATCTTGGCAGACTCGTTGTTTCACATTTATACTCGTGGATGACATGAACTCGACGATCGGTTCAACCAGCGGTTACGAATCGCTCGTCTGCACGATTGCTCAAAATTTCGAAACCTTCGGCCCGATTGAATCCACGACCATCGAGGGCCCGACGCTCATGGGGAGCCTGCTTCCACCGAAGATCGCGCTAGCTGACTGGAGCGCGCCGTTTTTGTCATGTAAAGATTGGACATTCTCCGAGCGCCGCCGGTCGATAGAGTTGCACGGGAAGCGTTCGGATTTGCAAAAATATAGTTTTTTAATTCACTGGATTGATCGGGCGGCATCCTGAATTTCTTTCTAAGATTCATCCTTTCGTAAACATATTCGTTTATCCCCTCATTTGCTCGAATTCACCGAGATGTATGAAAGGGCGATCTGCGAGCAGTCTCGTTCCTCTGTCAGATTTCTCGACAGCTTCGCTACCCCGCTTTCTCATCATACAATCAATTCCTGGGAAGACCGATCAGTTTCGTTGATTTCGCTCAGCAAAGAAGATAACAGGCGTCAGGTCTCGAACGGGATGATCAAAGCGAGAGGAATTTTCTTGCTGCGACAGTGGGCTCGGGATGATGGAGCGCTTATCGGGGAAAGTCTGAGCTCGGGCGAGATAGATTCTGTTCCCCGAGGTTCCTCCGCCACCTTGACGTCGACGACCGCGGGTCGAGATTCGAGGCGGATCCCATCATGGGTATCCAGACTCCCGGACCCCACTGAGAATCCGTTTTCGACAATGCGATCCCGCCAGTGGGAACTCCCTTCATCTCGGGTTCCTCTCCCATACGATGCACACGTGGACATACCAACTCCGTGCGTCGACGTGACTCTTCATCAGTCGGTTTGAAGCAAAACAAAAACATTTCACTCTTAGCGGGTTTTTCGGAGCCCTACCAACCTCTGGATCTTTATTCGCCTATCCCAATCACCCGTTATACGATGGCGAAATCATGCAAACCGAGGTTCGTATGGTATGCTCTCAGGATTATTCTCAAATGAAACTTTGAAATCTCAGTCATCGGAATTGAATCCGAGGTCATGATCCAGAAGATATACCATTGGAGGTTTCTCCGGCAGGAAAGTACTGGGCTCCTCAAAGAGAGGGCGGAAAGCTAATGGGAACACGAGAAAGTTTACCACCCGATGGTTCGTGTCACCGATCATCCCAAAGGTATGCAGGAGTGCCTCGTGATCGTCACGAGCTTCCGGTGAGAAGCTTCTAGTGTGCAGAAATTCCGCGCATTTCAAAGGTTCATGTCCATAAATTATCTGTTCTGCGACAGACGCTGAAACTCAATTTCGTACCGCGAGGGTCAACGCCGGAGATTCCTTTGGTGGGTTCTTTGCGGGGAGACAGACGATACTATATATGATACCGCTTCGAGTCAATCAGTGTCCGATTCTAAGGGAATCTTCATACCTTTAGTCGAATGCCGACTCCGATTGGCAAACTGGACTGGATCAGATCACGCCGGATTCGCCTCCAATCCTGGAGATTCAAGGAGCGTTAGACCCAGCTGAGGTCTTCACGCCTCTATCTTCGCTCGAGAGAGGGAAAGTCCAGAGGAGGAACCTCTTCAAATGGAAGAGCTGGAATGACCTCTCCGTCCTACCGGACTCGGTTTTCGTCAACTCTGAGACTCCCCTCGAACCTCGGCAACTCCCCATGGAATCAGGGATATCCCCAATGGACATTTCGATGCTCGAGTCCAATGATACGATCTTTGAGGAGGAGCTCTCCGATGGACGACCAGAGGATTTCGATCGCCTGCGGGTAAAACGAATCATATTCGACGTGATCGAAGAATCTTTCTCGACGCCCCATTCAGACAAATGTATAGTTGTTCCTGCTCCGGGTGCCTCCAGTTCTGAAGCTGTGGCTATTCGGGAGTACTTTGTGCCGGAAACTCCTCAGAATCAGTGAAGAAATATCACCAGACTGCCGCTGCGCTCGCCATCATGGCAATGTATGAGCTCGCGAAACGTGCCGAGAGTTTTTATGGAATGTACTAAAGTAAAATCACCCTAATTTTACCATGCATGGTCGTGAGTGTTTTGCTCATTATCGAGGAGCGCAGCGATTCCCCGACCGACGATTGTTTCCGTCGGGCAGGAGATTGTATTAATTCGCCGAGGATCCAAACTGTCTTCGTCGACATCTTTCTCCTCGTTAGCCTCTCGTCGCCTTGTCCGGCTCTATCTGAATTCATCTCGCCCATTTGGTCCTGGATCGAGGCATTGATTGAACGCAAAAAAAATATCAGAACGAGTACGCGAAGTCTCCATTGTTCGGGAGGATTGTCTTCGATATTGAGAAAATAGTAGTCGGAGGCGATATTAAGATGTAGAGGGTCGTGATAGACGATGTAATAATTCGACCAAGGATCTAGTCGAGACAAATCATAAAGAAATTTTACGGAGGAACTCGCGTTTTCTTTACCCCAACAGGCTGAGGGGCAAGGGTTGAGTACTGCTCATCGAAGAACAGAGCTGATGTTCGCGAAACGGGAGACTCCAGAATCATCCGTGAAGCACATGGAAACCTGATCAGATGAGGGATTTTTGTTTTGATGTCCGCAGGGGGAGTTTCCTCTGAATAAGGAGCCCGATGGCAACCAGAGGTCCCCTATAGACCTAACTTCCCATGACCAGTTCAATCGAGTCCTCCTTACTGAGAATTTTTCTTCGGGCTGTCAAATCAGAATTCTCGAATCTTTGAATCGAGAAGGTCGGGATGGACTGTTGCCCATGCCTATATGTGATCGATAAAGCGAGTCAAGTGCGATCAGATCGACGATTCTCATGTTCCCGAGGCACCGATACTGTCACAGGATCCAGTCGCTCGGTAGAGATCCAATGGATGGATCTCATAATCCCCTCATTCAGTTTATACCTAAGTCTGAAAAGCTTAGCTCTTGGGTTGTTATTCCGGCGCCGGAGGGCGTTCCAGGATTGTGGCGCCATGGACATCATCTTGGGTCTATGAGTCATGAAAATTCCTGACGTCAAATCGATTTGTCGTCTGCGCGATCTCTCACACACAAGGATCAATATTTACTTAGCGATTAGAATTCATCGTGGATGAGAGCTCGTTCATCGTTCCGCCTGACGGGAAGCGACACACCTTGTTCGAGCCGCCGCGGATGCTCCGAGAAGACGGTCCAATTCCTCTAGCCCAGTCTTTCTCCGATGCCGAGTCTAAATCGAGTGGGGCCAGGGTCCCCACGGTGAGGCGCGGGGAATTCTCGCCCGGACGATACCCTCCGCGAGCTGGGGCATGGAAGAACATCGCGAAGGGGCACGGCAAAAAACCTTCTGAATCGATAGGATACTGTTCGGATGGAACGCGAGAGCCGTATGGGCCAGGGAGATGACCAGGCGAGCTATTCCCAAGGAATTGGTTGCCTCCCGGATTTAAAGCCAAGAGCTTCATCCAGCTTGGAATCGGCCTTCGAATGGGAGAACTTGATCTCGGAGGCGCGATTCTGCTCAATGATCGCCCCGCCAACGATCTCAATGATCTCAGGGCGCAGCGTGCTGAGACAATTTCATAATTGAGACGGTACTATCACACTACAACTGGAAGAGGCATGATCTCACTCCACCCATTCGTAGAGGATGAGTCAGGGCAGCCGAGGCACTCGCACCGAATTCCGTCTGCTCTTTCAAATGATAGTAGAGCCATGTCCTTCAATATTATCTCACGGGAGCTCGAAACACCAAGGAAGGATTAAGCTCACTAAGAGTCTCATCAGAGTAATGCTCCGCAGTCTTATCGCTCTTTCAGCATTCGTTTGTCATCACGGCCGAAAATATTCGGGGGCCGCTAAGTGATTCTGTGTTGGGCTGAGGCGCTCCAGCGATGAACGGATTTTTAGCAGAATCATTCAGCCAGCTGTCTTTCACTGGGCTTCCATCTCTCTTTAACATTATCTTTCGCGTTCAAGGAAATCTTAGGGCGTGAAAAGTTTTCTTTCAACCTCGCCTAGATGATAGAGTCGGAAGAGCAGAAGATCGAGCGCCTCTCGCAGAAATGGAGCGATCTACTCCATTTCCGGTCGTTAGTGAAGCGCGGTGCTGCACAGAATCGCTCAACTTCTTCGATGTTATGTTCCCGCTTTCGAGAGAACAGACCGGATAATTACACGCGTTGGAGCTCTGTTGTGAATTCAAATTCAGTCAGGACGAAGAATTCTCTCCACAGGTACGCGGAGAGACAGTCAATCGAACACCATGTGATCTCTCGCATCGATTTTTTTTCGACAGGAAAATAATGGAAGATAGCGGCCGGAAGCCGGGCGGATCAGGGTCTCGAAGTTATTCACTGATTGAAATGGATAGAACGCTCAAAATCATACCCCTGGGACGGTACAGAGAGTTTTCCGAAAGTGCTCCGACCTCGAGAAGGGAGCGAGCGAGAGGACCGGGGAACCCGGATAATCCGGACTGAATTATTCGCTCTTATTCATTGATCACCATGGCTTTGTTTGTTAGTTTGAACTCGGTCACTTGACAGGTCCCTCCCGTATCCGACTCCGGACAACGCGCGACATTGGCAAAGTTGTCGTCAGCGTTCGCCGAGCGATCACAAGGCTGACAAGCGTGAAATGTTTGTCTGTCTACAGAGGGAAACAGGCACGCGCCTTCGACCGAGAATAGTCATATCGAACGCACTTCCGAAAGGACTATGCATTCGCACCAGAAATTCCACGCGTCGTTCATCATCCCCGATATCGGGCACTCATGTTTTCGGATTACTCCGCCTCACAGGAGCGAATATATATATCTTTTTTTCATTCCGGGGTGAGGGATGATATCGTGGACACCAGAATCGGATGAGAGAACTTCCTTGGTGGATGCCACGGCACACTGAGACAGGTAATTTTTCGCTCATTCCAGGATCGATAGGGACGACCCACGTGTCATGTCGACGGTGTGAGCGATCAACATCGACGGCCCTGTGCTATCGAAGAGAGAATTCAGAAGGTCAAGATCGCGGTACGAGCCCGCGCGCGGCATTCGTACGGAGAAAGATCGACTCCGCTTCGTAAACGAAAGCTTAGTCAGTCTGGGATTTCCTAGGATAGGAAGGCACACTCGATCGAGCCCGGACGACATAACGCCAGTTCACGCATAGCGCAGACTGGCGATTGGCTCCAGCATCACTGTGATGACCGCTGCCGACGCGACGGTGGCGGCGTTCACGGCCGCAGCGGCAGTCGCACCGAGTTCCGTGACGGCATTATAGCCGAGAGTGCAGCCGCTTTTGTGTACGACTATCACGCTCGTCTCCGCACTAGCTACAAGCAAGTCTGTTCTACACCAGCTCGATCGGTCGATATCGTGTCTCGAGACGCAGAATACTCGACAGGTAAGTTTGCTGAGGGCGGGTTCCGAGCTTTCATGGTAGGCCTCCCCAAGAAACTGTGTTGGACTCGAAAGACGGTCTTACTGGCGTATGTCGCTCCAATCCGCGGGAGAAAGAAACTAAGGCGTGCAGAGCCACTCCTCGCTGACAAGTGTTTCGACTGTCAAGTGCGAATCAGGAAGGATGGAAGTCGTAAGTCAGCTAGGACTGCTCAGTGCCAGATTTCCGCGGTTTTTGATATTCTCCTGGAGCTGCCGTCATATATTGGCTGGAGACCGTTTCCGATGCCGAAATTTCGTCGATCTGTCTCTTTCATCGAAGAGTTAGAATACATCCCCCTCTCAAATATTACATACGAATTCTCTAGCCCTGAGGCTTTTGCGCATGCCATCGAACGACCGCGAAGAAGGTCCGTCTAGGAAGGATGCACTTTCCCCCGAGCAGATTGAAGAGATTATCTCATCAGGGTGATCGGTGTCTCTGAGATTTTCGGCAAATTCAATTCTCCGCCAAGAACATCAAATCCTTGAAAGCCCCAGGGGAGTCCAGGACTGCGTGCATTCCGAGATCTTCGAGGTTGTCTTCCTCCAGCCTCTCCGAATCCGTGTCTGAGAAGAAAAAGAATGGAACGCGCAGATTCTTCGAAAGAATAGCGCACTCATGTGCTCAAATCAGCGAAACTTTGTGGCCTCCGCCCGGCAAGCGATACTTGTGCCACGAGCAGAGCGCCATCCGTCTCACGAGCCCGGAGCGGCCGTGAGTTCGTCGACTTCCTTCCGGATTCCCCACGTTTCTCTGAAATTATCGGTGATAGCGATCGGAGAACGATTTCTAGTCGCTCAGAACAGTTTCCTCTGCTACTCAGTGAGGAGGTTCTCTCGTTCGCTCTGAGTTTTTCCCGAGCGAACGTATTGCCTTCACTGAATCCTTACCATCAGGAGCAGTTGTCAGTCACAGTACCCGGAACTGAAGCAAGTTGACCGACGGCGAGAATGTTCTCAACACGCCCGTGACTCATCGAATTTCTCTGACCTGAGCGGAAATGGCAAGAGGAGTCTGATCATGAGTGGGCATCGTGAACGAGCCAATGCATTAAGGCAATGTATGCGACGGGTTAATTTTTCGATTCCTCTGTTCTCACGGGGCCCATGCACGGGCGTACGCGGGGGAGGGGAGGGGCGAGCTGAGGGGTCTATAGCTACCTCCCGCATGCGGAGGCCTGATCTAGCCCTTCTCCCGAAGAAGAATTCTCGCGATCAACATCTTCATCGGTGTGTGCCGTGCATATACCCTTGCCCCTTTTTTCAGGAGGCCTCCAAAGCAGCCATGAGTTACACTCCTGTGAACCAACAGCCCCTTGCAAGCCCACCACTTGGCGATAGATCGGTTCGCATGGGTTGCCCGTACTGCGGCAAGCTGGTTGTCTCTCAGACAACCTACCAAAGAGGTGAGCCCTGGCACCTTCATTAAGGAAATTCTGAAAGGAAACCTGCCTACCGGACTCAGACGACGAAATCAATACGTTCTATCTTCTTTGATGCAGGAATGCTCACTTACGTCGCCTCATTGGTCGTCGGTTCACTCGGAGGCTCGTTATGCTGTCTCTGCTTGATTCCGTGCTGCAGTGATGACTTCAAGGACGTAGAGCATCGTTGTCCCGCATGTGACGGCTACTTCGGAACATTCAAACGCTGAGGAGTACAGTTTGCAAGGAGGCGACTAACTCAGAATCTCAGAAACCACGCGTGAAACCAGTTTCCGAGTGATTTAATGAGAGGGTAATGGATGAATAAATCCCCCACCACGTCGTTCTCATGTTATCACACAGTTATCGTATTCAACCACTATCGACCCGTCAGACAATACTCGGGAGGGTTCCCGGCGTTTTCACATCCGCAAAAAAATGAGCTGGCATGCCCAACGCGCCAATGACCAGAATCAGATGCCCGTTCCACGTCATTCTATTCTGTGGAGCTCTTCGGTGGGATGTCTCGCAAGAAAACAGTCGAAGAAGCCAGAGCTTCCTCAAAGTGTTTGAGTGGGGATTTACCGATCTCAGTGCCGGCGAAGGTCTTCTGTAACGCTGCTGCCCCCGGATGATTCCGAGCCTCGTCTTCTTCGAGCAATGGGAAACCATCGAATCCTAGGTGGTGACCGCTTCCCCGAGGATCCAGCTCAACATCAGGATGTTCCTGCTATCCACTGATGCCGAGGCGCTGCCGGAACCAATCTTCCGCCGCAGAGACGTCCCATGAATCACGAGAAAAAATTACATAGAAAAAATCGATGGAATGACGATTGATCGCCATTTCATTGTGGCGAGCATTGTTCGTCCTCGTGGCGATAATCTGTGGAGAGAGGTCAAAGCCGACAGTGATGGTGCGAGCGGGGACAGGAACGGAAGACGAGACTCATTGCAATTTTCTTATCGATATTCACACCGCGCAATATCTATCGAGGACATTCCTATTCCGCTAGAGCAAGCGTGTGGGGAGACGAATTCCTCAGAAGAGGTTCAACGTCAACAGAAAACGGTAGCGATCAGCAGCGAGTCTGGCTCTTATTGGAATTCCAGGAACCGACGCGTCGCGTCACTTGAGCGTGAATGGGGGCCACGGTATGTCCTGAACTGAGACTCCCGACTCCATGTCGTGGAGAGGAAGGGAGTTCAGCCCGCACGCTGGAAGTATCCTCCCACCATGAAGGAGTTCTTTGAGCTCTCTCCAATGCCCCGTCGAAAACGTCACTCTCCGAATCTCTCGATGATCTTGGAGATCCCTTATATTTTCATATCATTGCCCACGATCAGATTCAGGGGCTATCGCCTCTCGGCTCGCGGCCATCGGGTTGCCGGAGTAATCGGCGAGTCTTCGTTGTTTTCCATGGTAGCGCGTGACCGCGGTTCGGGATCAATTTCGAGATCAGGATACTCCGATCCGTCTTGTCCTGAATCCCAGATTTCATTTCTTCGTCTAAGGTTCTATTCTGAAGGAGGGTAATCGAGCCGAGGAAACCGAGAGCTCCATCTCCCGTGAGAAAATCTTGCGCATTGTTTGAGGAATGCGCGTGGATATATTCTTGAGTTTCGGGAATCTTGTCAGTGATAATCGAAAACTTGAAAACAACAAAACCCCTAACAGCACAATTCGCAGTGAAGGATGGCGCCGCCACCGATGATTATTTCCATGATGGGCCAGCGGGCTGGTGGTGCCGCAGCCCAAGCCATGCGACCGATGATACTTTCCATCATGGGGCCTAGACAGCCTCCGCCGCCCCCACCACAACAGCCATTGATAATCTCAATGATGGGACCGAGGCAGGCCCCGCCGCCCCCACCCCGACCCTTGATCATTTCAATGATGGGACCGAGGCAACCGCCACCACCTCCGCCGCGACCCCTGATCATCTCCATGATGGGTCCAAGACAGCCCCCACCACCCGCGCCACGACCCCTCATCATCTCCATGATGGGTCCGAGGCAGCCTCCGCCGCCGCCTCAACAACCGCTCATCATCTCCATGATGGGACCTAGGCAACCTCCGCCCGAACCTCAACAACCGATGATAATCTCTATGATGGGCGGCTATGGGGGGTACGGGGGATACGGAGGATACGGAGGAAACGAAGGTTTCGGAGGCTTTGGAGGGTTTGACCCATACGGACAAGAGCAACAACAGCAACAACAGCAACAGCCAATGAGCCTCTCGAACCTAGGCGTTGGCGGACTTTCGCAAAGGATGCGCGCACCTATGAGACCTCCCGCACCCCGTCCGAGAGGTCCTCCCGCGAGTGGTCAATGATTCGCCTTTTGTGGCGACCAATAAAGCCTTACGGTGGCGAGCTGACTTCGATCGATTCACCAGGGACCATTAGTCGGAGTATATGTCGGTATGTTAGACTATAGGGAATATTAGCGCCTTTCCGTGCGAGCCTCCACCGGCTTTCCGTAGGGAACGGCATATCCTGGACGTCTTTTGTCATTGGAATTATCAGGTTCCGTGCTCAACGCCAATCCGTCCTGGAACAAGTAGTGCTGTGTAGATACGGCCTTCGGAAGTCTGTTCGATCAGGATTCTATAAGCATGTTGATGATCCATTCGAGGGATGCGCCGTTGTTTACAAGGAAGTTCCGGAACAACGAAAAATAGTTTCTCCGCCTCGATTCCCGCATGGAAACGCGAATAGGGCTCCAACCATGATGAAGATTGACACTATGATCTATGATTGAGCTAAAGGGGCCGAACAATCATCCACGTTCTTTCCGCTGCGAGCGCAGAGCCGAACTGCCAAATCGCAGTCCCAGCCGAGGGCGTGCAGCGCTTCGGGTCCGTGGCAGACTCATCAGGGACTCACCGAACGCGAGTGGAATCCTGAAAGTGTCTAGCTACGAATTGAATACCTCCGACGACAGCCGGCGAAGAATCAAGTAGCCTCCCTGAGACTTCGCCACGCAGTTCCAAGGAATAAAGCGCATTCGCACGAAGACGTGGGCGCGCTGTCGACTAAGTTGATTCTGCCAGTCGGAGAGAACCTGCGGTGGGGTTTCCCCCCGAAGAACTCCGCGGAGACGGAAATACATATTCGTTTCTCTTAAAGGAACTCTGCGGTCGAACCGCGAAGCACACTTTTCGAATGTTGTCAGAACGCTTCCTTGGCGAAACTGGAAGGAATACCCCGCTTGTTTTGATGGAAGTTCCGTCACGGGGCTCGCTTCAGACTTTCACGGTATAGGGTCTTGGGTGGAAACTTGACAAGAACTCGAGGTGTTCGATTTCAGAATCATTTATTCAATTTTCATTGACTTATTCGTGGCTGGGTCACGGTGTTTCGACTCAGCGTCGAGGGGGCGGACCTCGCTGCGGTGCCGCAGATCTCTGGCCCTGAGGCTGGCCCGGGGCTCGCTGGGGTTGCATCGGAGATTGAGGCTTCGGAGCTTGTTTCGGAACTCCACAGATTTGGGGCCTACCCATACTCGAGAGGCTCTGGGCCGAGGCTTGCGGTGCTCCTGGTTTGCGGAGAGCGGAGAGGCCGCCCGCCTGCTGGCCTCCCAGATACGAGATCTGCGGCGCAGCTCCTCCATAGCCTCCCATCATCGATATGATCATCGGCAGCTGCTGTGATTGTTGCTGTTGTCCGTAGCCTCCCATCATGGAAATGATCATAGGTTGCTGTGGCGGGGGTGCGGGTTGACGTTGACCCATCATCGAGATGATGAGTGGTACCTGCGGCTGGGGTGGGGGTTGACGCTGGCCCATCATCGAGATGAGGAGGGGTCCTTGCTGTTGGACTGGAGCTTGACGCTGGCCCATCATGGAAATGATTCATTGGTCCTTGCTGTGGTGGGGGATCTTCACGCTGGCCCATCATGGAAATGACGAGCGGCCCCTGTTGCTGTTGGGGTGGTTCCTGGCTAGACATCATCGACAGAATCAGCGGCTGACCCATGCCTGCCATGTTGCTGATTGTTGTTTTCAGCTGAAAACTTCGTTTTAAGCTACGAATAGCTTTTGAAGCAATCCTTCCGGTGTTACGAGTTTCAATATCGATGCTCATCGACCCGAAGAATGAAGGAGCTATTCGCAGATATTTTCTATCCGCTTTATCCGAGCATCAGCGCTTCAAGATGGGAACTCCCCTCATGGAATACTCGCGCGACTCGGTGGAAGTTTCCGCATCTCAAGTTCAACTTCGTGGCATTCTCTATTCAATTCATCCTGTTGGGGAGGAAACCTGAGGAAGGGAATCGTGCCTATTAGTACAACATTCATTCCTTTCTGCCGGTCGTTCCTGCGCTGGACTCTAATGCGAGGAGATCATCCATGAAGATAGAACCGAGGTCTATACTTCCGTACTATACGAAGTCTGAAATCGAGGCTCATTCGCGTCCGCTCAAGATGCCTTCCTGCTCTGCTCACATCTTAAGAAAAGCGACTGATATCAGACTGCTGCTAAACAGGGCACCCACAGCATCTAGCTGCCGCCTCAGACGCATCTATCCCCGGTTTGCATCTCATTTCGGATTCTCATTCATTCTTAGGAGGAACTCCCAGATTTGAGTCGAACGCTATCCTTAAATGACTCCCGCAGCCCCCTGAGAATAGAGAGTCCGGCGACGGGCAAGGCTTCGGGCCTCATCATCAGAGATGGTTTGTATGCCCAGATGACTTGGATCACTCTCGATGTCGAGACGAATCAATCATCTGCCCAATGAACGCTCCTTCGCGGAAAACTCCGGGGACTCCGACAGCTGAAGACTGAGGGGAAACGAAAAATCGACTTTGAGGCGCTTTATTGATGCCGGGTCAGATCTTACATCAATGGCTCCAGAAATAAAACATCAGTGCTTCTCAATATCACGAATTTTATCGACAGTCACGTCTGATATCGACCCGTTTGACTCAGTTCCCCTGTCATAGTTTCAGTAGGGGTAAGCCGGAGCTCCGTAGGCTTGTCCTCCGTAAAAGTTGTATCTGCCAGTTAGGTAACCTGCTGCACCTGCTCCGTATGGAGCGGCACTCCCAGCGTACGGTATCGGCACTGCGGAGGCAATCATGCTCGGGTTAATCATCGTCCTCGGTGGGACTGGTGCGCGATTTATGGGTACATATATTATGCGATCCGAGAAGACTTCCCCAATTTTCTCGAAAGCTCTCGTCAGAAATTATTACTCGGATTGGGGGAATTGCATGCACTCCGCACTCACTTGGCATGAAATAAGAATAAAACTTCGGGTTTGGATCCTCGGCGTATTCACTCAGATCTATTTCGTCTTCGTAGTCGTCGACCGGTTTTGTGTGCGCCTCGACTCCGAATACCAGCACTGCCAGCATCAAGGAAACACCGACGGCCAGGGTCTTCATTTCGAATACCGGGCAATCCCTCCCGAGACTCTATTTAAATGGAGAATCGCAGTGCCCAGAAATAAACAGATGACGCTTCACAAAGTCAACCTAAGATTTCCTCATAGCGCTCACGATGGTTATTCAAGATTGGAGCCGCTAGTGTTCCCGAGTCTTTCAAACTCCGCGATACTTGCACCTGTGTTTGACAGATAGTTGACGTGTTGACTTTTCGAAGAATAGGAAAATTCGCAAGCTATTTATCCAACGGAGTCTTTGCAGCCCCCTCTCGTAATGATTGCAGTGAATTGTTAGAACAACAAATTGGGGTTCCCGATGTGCTCTAGGATTGCATGTTACCGTGGAAGTATCGACAGATCCCGATGTGCCATGCATTGACTCGGATGAAACTCGGTACGATTCCAATAAGTTCCTGCCTTCATATACGCCTGTTCCCGATGCCTGCTTTCCGCGCCTCAAAGTCTCCTTGACCGTAGCATGGGAGGTTAGGCCGCAGGGAGGCATATCATGATTCAACCGTCATACTTTCTCCGGCTGCAACTCGCCGTCCATCCGTGCGGAGATCTCAGCCCCCTCCCCCGAGCGAGTATGGCAAGATCTGCATGGAGCTATCTTTTCGAGGGGGGAGATCAATATCAGTGTAGTAGCAGTCTTTCTATAGTGCCCGCGTAGCCCTAATTGATTAATTTAACCGTCGTAATTCTGGCTTTCTTGGCGAGCTCCCGCAGAGATCTCCTCGGCCCCTTCTCCAAGTCGGGGAGCGGATTCTCGGACGATTCTCGGAGTCCGATTATATGTTCTTCATGAAGAGGAGATCTTCGTGGCGAGCCCTAGGATACCATCACCTGATCCTCAACGGATCGGGGTTTCGAGAATATGACTTGCTCTGCGGCTCCGGATGGAACAGCTATATGATACTCGTTGCGATTTCTGCGCAGTTTCTTCGTTCTCTACGGCAATACTTCTATACGCATTCACTATCAGCGCATCCACATTCATTGAGAAGGGGCAGGGGGCTCCACGAGTCGAGAAATTCGTCTGGAACGTCGCTCTCTTCCATATATTCTCAGAGTCTCGCGGAAAGGCGCTGGCTGAGTAGCCCATGGAGCACCAAAGAAAAGCTTCATCTTGGATCTGAGTGGGCTAAAGGCCACGAATTCTCGCTCGCCTGTGCGCGACGCCCGGTCGACTTTTTGTTGAAAAAATATGAGGATTCTGTACCTCACCGCATGTCAGCGAGGGCTCCGGGTCTGTGCCAAGCCATGTGAGTCGAAAATCTGGAGCCTTCTGTCTAACCTTCCGGAAGCAATCCATGCGCAGAAGACTGAGGCTGCAGGGAAGTGGTTCCGGGGCATTGGGGCAAATTAAATCTGCCGGAGGGTGCATGATGCCTCGCAAACCATGTTCCCTGATTCGATACTCCCTACCCCACTGTCCACCCTTCTTCTGCAGAACGCGGCGATGGATACATGCATATTACCTCTAGCATTCCGATTCGAACTCCTCAACCTCCGAAGGAGTCGCGAACATGTCTCGACAGGGGAATCTCACTTGTTGCAGCTAACGAGAAACGGCTGACATCATTACGCTTGTCGAGCAAGCGGGATGCGACTGGAAGCACGTCTTCGGGGCAGGACTCCCTCAGTCTCATTCGGATCTGAGCTCTGAAATCTGAGTTGGGGTCCCTCCTCAATTTGCGCAGTGGTTGAGCGCATGGCCTGCTCGCAGTCCTCCAAGCAGCGGCTCCTTCGCGGGCGGCATTGCCATACTGCACGGGAGTTCTCGAGCATACCTGCCAATTGAAAGACTATGAGCCCGGCGATCATTCCTTCAGATTCGAAGCTGCCAGATCCTTTGACAGCCTTGTCAACTCGGTCCGTTGAAGAATAGTCTTCCGTGTTCATATATGCCCCCTCCTGTGCCAAAGAAGATTCCGGATATCCGGAAGATGTCCTCCTGTTCCTTATGACACGTGGACTCCTGGGAGGCAACTTACGATACGGAGCAACCCATTTGTCCAACTTTCCGATTAGCGGACAAGGCTACTGCTCGCCATAAGCGAATGCTTTCGAAACTCACGGATCCCCTCCCTGACGAAGAAGAATCGCAGCCCTCGCGATCGACGCCGCTAAGCTCGAGGTCAAGCGATCTCTCACCTCAGACCGGCGACCGAGACTCGGGAAATGACAGATCTGTAGCTAGTAAATGACGCAACCATATATTCGTTCAAGCAGTCGAAAATGATGGTTCTTTCTCCGGGTCAGCGACGAGTCGGAGGACTAATCTTCATTCCGGACCAATACGGAGACTGGGCCCGTTGCACGATTCCGCGGAGACGAGGAATTGCAGAATGAGTTCAGTTATTGTTCGAGGGAGGTCTCGATCAGCGAATGTTCAGACATCATGTCGTTCAAGGTAGGTTCGCTCAAACTGTGATCCCACCGTTCCCCGTGGGCGGCCCGCGACCCGCTCGCCGAGCTTCTCGGACATGGTTTGCGAATGGTCCTCTCATTGGAATTCTTCGAATCAGAATTACTCTACGGAAGCAAACGGGAGACAGCCTGGGATTCGCTTCCAGGTATCAGAGGATGGTGAACGAGGTCTGGATTAGTCTAGCGAAGGCGCGGAAAGTACTCAGCATGCCTTTTTCTTCCAAACAATCGACGGCCACGAAAGATCTGATCGGCTGACCGGGCTCTTGCCTTCCACCCGGAATCGCGCATCCGGTGGGATCGTGGAAAAACTTCGGAGTATGTATCCGATACAGGGCTCCAGAAGTCTCGATTGATCACGGTCGCTTCGTTCGACGAATTCTCCTTTGTAGGTATGCTCCGAGTTTACGAAGCTCGCCAGATGCTTTGACGCTGAGCCCTACATGTGTGAAAAGGTCAAATCTGATCCAAGGAGAGGATGGTCTGCGTGGTATTGCAGCGGGCGAACGCTGGGATAAAGGAAAACAAAGTACTCTCTCAGGAGCTGGGACCTATTATTCGTCGTGGTTTTTCCTCCGAGCCTTAATCTCGCTCAGCTGCTAATGAATCGCTCGTCTGCGAGACGTAACGCTGCCTAGTTCTTCGTTCTCATGCATCCCGTCTCCATGTAGCGTGAAGACAGACTCGAGCTCTGGCGAATCGAGAGACGGCTCGCCGACGGTAGGGAGAACTCTCAAGGCTGAGAACTGCCAAGAAACCATTTCGAAGCACAAGTCGCGATATGGGGACACTGCCTCTGTGTTGCCTCGACCATCCGAGCATCGGTAAGCTGATTAATGGTTCAGAAGATATCGGTATAATGGACATTCGCGCTTGATGGAATACTTGCGATGTCCGCAGATATTTTAGAACGACGAACGTGTTATCGCGCTTTGCGACTCTTGTGTAAAAGTGCAATTCACTTCTAAGCTCCTCTCCCTGAACTCGCTAAGTGACTTCACTGCGCGAGAGGCCGCT